TTAAATCACATTCCTGGTAATTGTGCTTGGGGGATTGTAGAGTGCAGAAATTAACATACCGTGCCCCGTGGGAAGAAGAATGATAACACAGATCATTTCATATAGATCAGATCTGTAAGCATTGACTACATGTAAATTGTTCCTTATGTAGATTGCAACTCCTCCTTTACTCCTTTTATCAGTACCAGCCCAGTTCCTGTCTCGTCTGAGAATCGAGTAATTTGGTATATTCACAATAGCATTGGGAATGTCTTGTTTCAGATATGTTTCTGAAACAACACAAATATCAATGTCCATATTTTTCATATCTGCTTCAAGTGCGATAGGTGCCCTTACTTGATTCTTAGTGTTAGTCAGAGAGCAAATGTTGATAAACATGAACTTGGGCACAGCAAACTCAGATCTCCTCTGTAATAATAATAATAATAATAAAAATAATAATAATAGACACTTATATAGCACGATATCCACTAATTGCTCAAAGCGCTGTACAATAACACGGTAAGAAACTAGCGTCAAAAACTATTATATGATAAAATAAAAATTAAATAAAGCTACTAAAATCAAACATTGTAGGCTAATTTAAATAAGTATGTCTTCAACTGCGACCTGAACTGGTCGACAGATGTAACACTCCTGAGTTCAGGGGGCAATTGGTTCCATAACCTAGGAACAGCTGCGGAAAAAGCCCTATCACCATACGTCTTTAACCTAGTCCTAGGCACGGCTAGAAAATTCTGGGAACTAGAACGAAGTAATCGTGGACCATTAGTGTAGCGTAAAAGTTCGGATAGGTAAATTGGTGCCAAGCCATTTAGACATTTGTAAACTAAGAGATAACCCAACAGCAACCAATGAAGTTTGAACAGGATATGAGTGATATGGTCAAACCGCTTAGATAATGTAACAATGCATGCAGCAGTGTTTTGTATCAGTCTTAACCTGTTTAACAGGTGTTTAGGAAGACCATATAACAAAGAGTTACAGTTATCGAGTTTAGAGCTAATAAACGGATGTACTAAAATTTGAGAGGTATCTTCACTTAAGTACTTCCTGATCGTATGCTATGTTCCTTAAATGATACTGACAGGAAACGCAGATTTTGTTAACATGGTCGGTTAAATCAAGACACTGATCCATAATCACCCCCAGATTTCGGGCGGAGGGTTTGGGTTGGATCTTCTCATCAACCACCTGGATAAACTCCAGAGAAAGCCTGCAACGAAATTTTGAGCTGATGAGAACAAGTTCAGTTTAAGACCATTGTTCACCATCCAACAATCAACGTCGTTTACACAGCATTCGACACGACGCTTAGCCAAAGAAAGATCATAGCTACAGTCAGTTCTAAACGATATATACAGCTGGGTATCATCTGCGTATAAATGATACTGTAGCTTGTGGAACTTTATGATATCAGCAATGGGTGATGTATAGAGGAGATAGTACCGGTACATTTAAAACCGGCGAGCAAGGTATATATACAAGACATCTTGCTCCAGCTAACGGCTTAACTCTCATCTTATATGTTCCCTCTCTGTTGCCAGTAACAACACTGATGTTCTGTTCTTGGCGGTTGAGACAGCAGGCGCGTAGTCTCCTGCATTGGCCACCTGGCTTGCCTCTGTATTTAGGGATCCCCAAAGCTTTACAAGTAATCATAGCTTCCATAGGAGGTTTCCATCCAAACTTGCGATGTGATAGCAAGTTATCACGACTGATAACGATTCGCTGAACAAGGCTGTGCTCTGAAGGATGAAGGTCATTGCAGTTATGACAGTTAGATTCTTTGGTTAGATTCGCTGCAGCCATGGATAAAAGTTCTGGACCTGGATTCAGTTCAATATCGCAGTAGATAGTGACGTTTAAGAGTATCCTTTTTTCTGGAGCTGCCTTGAAAGTCAACCCACAGGTCTTCCATGCCACAATGGCTCGTCGAATTCTCCTCTGAGAAGAACTAGCAAACTGAACTCTAGCAATGAAGTGTAAGAGAGAGTCTAGTCGACTCTGGAATAAGCTACCAGTGTTTTCTGGTTATGGTAGATTTTCCGGAGAGCTGTTGCTTTCATCCAAAGCAGGTAAAGAAGATAAACCTACAAGAGCAGCGAAAAGTGTAGCAGCCATATTGGCACCTGTCACATAAAAACTTTAGTTCAGTTTATAACGTATTGCTTATATTTGAGATCTGCTTTATTAGTTTTTATGCCCCAATCTCCAAATTCAATCTTCAGCATAGGTATACCTCGTTTGATGTTTACATCTTTGCTCTACATCTTTAAGCTCTATAGTTTGTTCGTTAATCTCAATGGTATTTGATGTGATCAGACTCTCAAATTTCTTGTTGAACTCAAGCTGCATCTTCATGAAAGTTTTGAATTCCTCGTAACAGTCGTCATGCCAATTTGGAGCCCACCATTGTAGTTGTCTCTGTTATCAACTATGCATTTACAGCTTTCAGCACTGTTAAAACATTTTCAGCATTTCACATCTTCGTAAGATTTATTTGCATTTTTGGCGATATCCGTTAGCTTTCCAACATAATAATCCTTATCTTTGCTGATAAGGCAGTTGGCGCAGCAACTCCTGTGGCCGCAGCCATGTTAATATCAAAACTAAGTTGTTCATCAATATCAAGGCCCCACAGCTTAACATTTGTGGCCTGTCCTAACTTGCATCCTTTGAACTGTATCTCAAGCTTGTGCTCTTCGTTATTTAAACGTTTTCCCAGGTATTGTCCATCATTTAAAATCGAAATAGAGTTTTGGAACAATTAAGTGGCCGTTTGTTGATTGTTACCAACTCATCAACGTTAAGGACTTCTCGGGAGAGAGTGTTCACAAGATCTTCTACATCAGCAACATCGGAAGGCGCCAGAAGCGTGGTGTCATCAGCAAATATGTCGACCTGAGTATTGACATGTGAGGGTAGATCATTGATAAACATCACAAAAAAGCAAGGGACCTTACATGGAACCCTGTGGCACATCAGCTGTAACGGTCCGAATGGACGATGACTGTCCCATGAGTAAAACCAATTGAGTACGATCACTTAAATGTGATTTGAACCAGAATAAAGTGTTTTTATCAAGATTGTAGGCTTCTAGCTTGCGTAGCAAAGTCACATGATCACCCATGTCAAAAGCCTTCTTATAATCAACAAGGACCATACCGTTAATCATGTTTTTGTCTAGATTAAATAACAGCGTATCAACTATATGTGTCATCGTCTCCGCGCCATGTTTAATTTACAATGTAGGCTATGCTGGAAATATACTGGGGCAGGCAAAATGCCAAACAGGAGTTTGAGCCAGTGGCAGTGACCAAAGGGGTGCCAAAGGTTGTGAGATAGCTAGACTCTGTGTCTCAGTGCGTCTCACTTCACAGACGAGTTTGCTTATGTCGTGGGATGTGTTTCAGGGGCACTCAACAACAGTTTCCCCCTAAGTACACTGAAAACTCTTTTTAGGCAATCCAGAGTAATTTCAGATCTCTAGAAATGTATTATAAGAGGTGCTATAAAATTTGTATCTATTCGGCCATCTTAGGGGAACTTGAATCTTTTCAGAATTAGGAGGGCTTCAGAATTATTTTCACGAAAATGTTAGATGCAATGTAAGGTTTTACGAAAGTGAGAATTTGGAAGTTTAGCGGGTATAGACTTTCAGCTAATTTAAGATGGCAACCTTACTGACACTGTCTTGTCAATTTAGGTGATGCGAAACTGCTAACAAATACTCCTTCATGTTATACTGTAGTGACACCAGTCAAAGTACCCTGCTAGCAGAGTCGCTTCGATCTTTCCTAAATAAGTCGGGAAAGAGGAAGTGACTCTGCCGACACCTTCAAATTCCTTTGGTTTGCCAATCATCCAGCGATTTGGATAAGTCAGACGAGTTTCAAACGGGATGAACCAGTTTTATCTGTGCACGCACACATTCTCTGAAGTTTTACTGACTCTATCTGCACCCACGCTCCATAGCAAAACAAATAGATACTGCTTCAATTTCATGTAGGAATTTTGGGACAATCATAGATTGAACGGTCAGTTTTAGAAAAAACGGAAAATGTACCCCGATTTGAGATGGATTCTGCTTTGGGCCATGGTGGCTCTTCCATGAAAAAGGTTAGTCACTGCAGCCAGACTTGTGGTAGTTTCGTGAAGGGCGTCCCTTAGCACAAGTGCTTGTGCTTCAACTTCCAACAGCACTTGTATTTGTTGTGTTGGAGGTTCATATATCATTCCGCTGGGTTTGCGAATTATTTCCAAACGAAAAAGTTGTTACTGGAAAAGTTGTTACTGGAAAAGTTGTTACTGGAACAGAGGTCTGCGAAGTCCTTGTGCAGATGCAGTTTAATCCCTTTTGATACCGACACCCTGTCGAACTATACTCGTACTTGATCTTCTCGTTAACGTAGTCGCAAGTAAAAATGTTCACAGACTCACAGTCACAGACTGGACTGGCCAACTGAAGAAGTAAAAAATCGTCCTCGAGAATAGATTTTCACAAGACAGAACCATGGTGCCAATAGTTTTCTGCATGGATCACAGGTCATGTAGTATCACTGGGTTGGTCATGTTATCCCAAATTTCAGGGTTGTCCCACTGAGTTATGAGAGTCTCACAGTAAATATTTCATCACCTTATCCTTAAGTTAGGACTACAATAATTTTTTGGACCACTGGCTGTTAACAAAGTTGGCAAACTTTTGTCGATGGCTGGACCCATTTCATCAGCGTCAAGGAAATTTTCCATGATTTCCAACAACAATGGGTCATTGTTGTCTGGTTGCTCTATTCAAGCACGTTTTTTGTTGGGGGTGCCATCGGCTGTGTTGCCACAAAAGGCTGTGATGTCCTTGTCAGGTTCCTCTCCATCGTCTTCTGAAGCACTCAAAGCATCCATAGAACAGGTCTTGCAGGCAGGATCATCTTCAGTAGCGTTGCTGGGTTCAGAGCAAAGACATTTTAGTAACTGATTCATGGCAAGCATAGACTCGGCCATTGCACCGAGAGACTTAAGATTTGCAGACAGTGAAAACATGGGACCTGATGGGACTTCCCAGGAAGTAGTTTCACAGGAGGTCGACTCTTCGTTTAGGAGGGCCTCTAGCGCATCCAGTGGTGTTGATTTTTGAAAGCACGGGTTTTGCGATCAATGGTCAAATGCCAAGCTCTTGTTCTGTGACAACTTTTTCATAATTCTTAACTCACTCGATGATAGATCTCTTCTTCTAAATACATTTGCTGACGATTTGTTTGTCTTTTTAAGACTCTTTTAAGTGTTAATTTTGGCTTCAAATGTTTCTTTAAAAATGTAAGTAGCAATTTCGTCAAATGCTACCAAGCTTCTTCTTGGTAGAAATGGGCATGTGTGGATGTTTTGTTTGCGCAATTTTAATAAATTACGATTTTGACCTAGAGGACCCTGAGACGAGTAATAATAATAAGAGAAAGAAATAAGGATGAATTGGTAGTGATTGCCTGCGTGGTCAAGTATTACCACATGTTAAATTTCAACTTGGTTTAGATGTGGTGGCTAAGTTGTCTGTTAGCCTTTAAACTTGGATAGAGATTCACTATTTAGAAGGTATTTTTTCTAATGTAGATTTAGATTTTGAAAACCCTCATGAATAGACAATCTACATCCAATTGGCCTGTTTTGTGTTATGTAACTAAGTTAATACAACGTGGACTGTACCTTTTGATATCAATCAGTCGAAATTCTCCCTATGCCAGGGCATCCACTCATCTAGCCTGCATAACAGGCGCTTTATAAGCCAAGTGAGGCGAATGCGGCATTTTGCGCGAAGCACAAGATGAGTACAAATCGTGAGACAAGGGGATCACGCAAAATGCCATGTTCACCTTGCATGGCTCATAAAGTGCCGATTATTCAGGCTACCACTCATCCAGAATGTAGTTCAACATTTCCTAATTGTCACGTCTCTGCAGCTGCGTTATTCTCCTTCCATCTTATGAATCGTGCCACTGGGCAACGATTTTGACATACTGATACTCATTCTCATGACCTTTCTGTTGGAAACATCTAGCCGCATAGTATGAATAATTGTCACGTCTCTGCAGCTGCGTTATTCTCCTTCCATCTTATGAATCGTGCCACTGGGCAACGATTTTGACATACTGATACTCATTCTCATGACCTTTCTGTTGGAAACATCTAGCCGCATAGTATGAGAGCAGCCATTCAGCATCAACCACAGATTGCTACCCTCTTCCTGTGAGAGCTGTGTATGTTGTTAGACCGGCATTGCTTCAACAAAAGCCTGGTAATGGAGGTCTATACTGTTGCCACTGCGAGTACACGTGGCGATTCTCTTTAACACATGATTGTGTTCTCCACGTTCATTATGGGGTTATGCCTTTGATGGCATTAACCTCCAGGACATACAGATGTTGGGTTAAGTCGGCTCCAAATTCCTCACAGCAGGATTTCATTGTATGGGGAAAATCATGTGTTGCAGCAATAGACTACAGCATTTCTAGCAAACTCTCAGGCATGTCATGTTTGAATGGGCATGGTGTGTAGCCATAAGGAACCAAAGTTCCACGTATATGGACAATGGCATCGTGAAGACTTATGTCATCTTAGAACTGAATATTGAAGAGTTTTTTGAGAAAATGATGTGGAATGGCTTCAGGCAAGTAATTGAATTAATTTGTTTGATATATGGAATGTAGCTAAAAGACTAGTAATCCTTGTTGAGATACATTGCCAATGTGGATAGTCTTCTTTGGTTTAAAATGCAGTATGTTTTACATATATTTAGTAGACCTTCAAGTGTGCCATTAAAGAAAACATGCAACTCAGGATGTCAACTGCCTGTAAACAAGTGTTTTTCAGTACTGTTCACACACTGAATGGGCATATTATAAATAAATGTAGCGAAAGATGTTTCATCTCCTTACATAACAAGCATTTCCAGAAGTTAGGTTTTCTCAACATCACATCGCAACTTGCATCATGGATTAACTGCCAGATATGAGTAGACCTTGTCTTAATTCAACTGTGTATTGCCACAAATTCACCATCTATAACTGTACCTTTGGGATTTTTGGTTATGAACATTAATAGTGGAATTTACTGTAAAGAAGATTAAAGATAAATAGGTTCATTTTTGTCATTCGAAAATTTCTCCTTCAAAAACACATCTGTCTCTCTATTGACATGGTAGTTTCGAAAACAGACTGAACCACGAACCACCCAAATCTCGAAAACGAAGCACTTAAACTCAAAAGGGAAGCACCCAAAACTCGAAAACGAAGCACCCAAAACTCGAAACCTGTCTGTCCTTTAAAAACACGAGACAGTCCCTTGTCAAGTCACCAAGGCTAACACAGCAGGAATCAAACACAACAGGAATAGAATGCAGTTCAAAAATATTCAAGTAAAACTACGAGGTGTTGGAAATACATTTCTGTCGCAGTGACCTGTGTGCGGACTTGTGCAGGGAGCTGGCTCCAAATGAGTGGGTTTACTTGTGGCGCTCTAAGCCCCTCAAAGTTCACAGGCCTAGGATATTGATCGACCTTTGCTTGGGTCTTTTTGTCTGGAGTTAAGTCTTTGAAGAGACTATTCACAATGTTGGCCAGTTCCTCATCCACAGTGCTCCCAGTTTTCTCACTCAGATCAAGATTCTGAATCAAAGAGCACTAGTGCTCTTTGAATTTTTTGTTCCTGCCTAGGGGCTTTGGTCAATTCATTTACCTTTTTATCTAGAGAAACAACTAATTCTCTGTCAGCATCTCCATGCTCCAGTTCGCCCTCTTCGTAGTCGATTTCCTTGTCTTCGAGGTTAATGGGCTTGCTCAGGTGATCCATTCGTCTGTTCATTGCTTTCATTTCTTCGACCACAGACTGGACTATGCTGGCCAAAGCGTTCATGGTTGGTGTCTCTCTGGACTTGTTGGCGACCTCACTAGATGCTTCTTCAGGTTCTGTCATTTTTCGAGTTCTAACCTCGTTAGAGCTACGTATTTGTGATGTAAGACCAACTACATTGGTTCTTAAAGGTTTAAGTGATCTATCTACGTTAGATTCTACTTTCTCAGTTGTTTTCTTCTTTATCTTCTTAAATCAACTTGCTTGATGCAACGCACGTGTGCAATGACTTGACGCATGCGCTGTGCTATCTCATGGGCTCTCTATGCCCCCAGTCATGTGATAGATTTAAATTTCGAAGGCATACAATTTACTTCAGCAAAAGTAATGCGTGAATAAACATAATTTTCACCATGTGCAAACCTTCAAATTGATTAAGGTGCTAGTGGTTGAGGGTTAGAAGGATGGTCTACAGATTCCTGAAAAAATTTGTTTGGGCAAATGATAAATAGTGAAGCGAGAGCTTTACAAAATCTATCAAAAATGCAGATATTTGACCTTCTGAGGTCAACTTTGAAATTGCCAGTCGGACATAAAATTTAGTCCCCTCACTTCTCTAAACCCACATTAGGTTAAAATAAGCAGATAGAAAACTGTTATGAAATGTTCTTACCTTAAAATCTGCTGTAAAAGACGAGTCAAAAGGCTGTTTTAGCATGATTTTTTGGTCATTCGTCGCTTGACCTCTGGTTTGTAACATCTGCAATATATGTTTATACTTCACGCCCAACACACCGTGTCAACTTTTGACATCTTTAACGGTCGAATATCAATCTTTGATCAGTTTTAGGCGAATTTTATCACGATTGCATCTTTTTCGACGGCTTATGCATTTGTTGAACAATGTTTTCTTACTGCATGAAATATTTTGAATACTGCTACAATGGCACAACAATACTGATGCTGTTCGTCACGCAACACTGTCATGTGCATTTTAGTGGAGGAGTGGTGGTGCTAGAAAGTACATGTAGTACACCTTGGGTGCTTTCTCTTTTGCCAAAACAACCGATTAGAAACCAGTGGAATTATCAAGAGAAAATGAGATGACATTTCGAAGAGGATCAAGAGGCAATTTACATTTCGACCAAAATTCTGACCATTTTTTGGCAAAGTAGGACTGGTATCGAGAATTTTTGGAAATGGAATGGCAAGGACAGACTGGTCAAAGAGGACCACCTCTGGAGGTGGTCCATTTTGACTAGAGAATTTTCTCGTGGACCGAAGCGTTCCATTTATTTTTGGATCAAAATTTCCAAAAATTTTGGCGTAATGGATAGCACCCCTAGAAACCCTTTATACATGACTAAATAATTTTGTTAAGGGTTATTTATCACCGAATGCTATGCATTTGCATGGTGGTGTTATTTTACTACATGTCCACAATCCTTTTGTGTTTTTTTCCTTTCATTTTATTTTTTGGAATTTAAAAATCCCAGCGAGATCAAAAGCCCTAATTTGTACAAGAAAGCAAAACCCTGAAGGATTCAGGTTGTAAAATGACGTCATGCTCTGTCATTGCTAAACCCTGGTTTGTACTTTAACCACTTTGGCATGCACTCTGCAACATAATTAACATTGACAAAAAACTGAACCTGTTCACTCTACAAGAAAAAAAAATGGAATTTGGCCTTTGCAAAAAAATTGGAAAATTTTGTAATTACCAAAACTTCTAAAAATGCCGACAGCTTTTTGACAAGCGACAAAATCTGCTGTTCCCTTTGAAAGCTATCCCTCATTGAGTCATCTAAGCAGGGCTCCCACAACCTCTTTTCATTTGGTTATCACGTGATTGACCGAGCGTACGTACGTACCTACATACGTACGCGTCTACAGATTATACGGGTGGCGTAAGGGAGACTATCAAAAGGAAGGGAGGGGTGTCTCAGGCGTGTATTGCCAAGTCCACATCTTTGATATAGGATATTCACATTATGGTCAATTGACAGCTGTCAAAACAGGATAGCCACTGATCAGTATCCCATAACCATATGGCAGGCTCATATGTCAGCTAATCAAGGTGACATGATTTATTTGGAAGCTGTCCGCTGACCAGTTAATTGTTTTACTAGATTGCGAACAATGTTCAATCTCATACTTTTAGCTAGTTTGAGAGCACAGGAAAACTGATAATGCACACATATTGGACGTCAATGTTTTGATCAATTGAGAGCTGTCAAAACAGGGTACCCGCTGACCAGTATCACTTGACTGTATTGCAGTCTCAGGTGTCAACCCATCGAGGTCAAGTATTTTTTTGAAGTCATCCGCTGACAAGTTACTAGTTTTCAAGTGATAACGGGCTCAAGATCAATTTTTTTTAAATTCATATGAAATATGTTTCGTTTATGTGCCGTGCAATTAAAATTTTGATTGCAAACTGACCTCGGACGCGAAAATTCAGCCAGTTGTTACAGGCAGGGAAGACAGTTACTTTTGACTTTTCTCACCATGGTCATGCATCGGTCACACTCTACGTCCAATTTTTATGCTCTGATTGGTCAAAATTTGACAGGTGAGGTCATGCCGAAAATTTATGCAGCATCTTGAATCTCGTTTACTTTTACAGCTGAAGCTGACACAGTTTTCTGTAACTTGTGATGTTTTTAACTGTTTTTTCCACTGGATGTACAAAATAAAATTCAGCTGCTGTCAGGAGTCTTCTGTTATTCACGGCTAGTTTGTTTATTGGGATTTTGGTTGAGAAATACATTGCTTGTCAAAGTTGGAAATCCGATTTGGGATGGCATCGTTTTCATTTTCACCTTCCTTGATGCGTAAGAGGGTTGCAAATTAAGTCTGAAGCGATACTGGCCTTGCTTGATACCTTTTAGGAACTGCATCTCGAATGGTAAGCCAGAGTAATTATTGTATTTGATGTTTGTTTTTTGTATCTAATTTAATGAAGTCGAGCATAGTTTATGAGGGTATTTAGTTTGTGCACGTTTGTAAGATTTGAGACAATGATCTGACTGAGTATCAGGTTTGACATAAGCGTACGGAACTTTAAAAAGCCTCTAGACAGTTTCTCACCGCAATAGAAAGAAAACGTTCCAAAGAATATTTAGTTATAATTCTGGCTGTAAAAGAAAGCTTTGAGCGATTTTCTTGCCTCGAGTTTGTCTTTGAAAAAAGCAAACCGGCCAGGAAGCCAGCTCAAAACATAAACTTAAGCTTGAAGCTTGAAGACTCAGGATTTTTACGGACACTATAATACTTATCTTCCTGAATGAAAGTTGTTGTCTCTGCATATGTTTAACTGAATTATATTTCTTTTATTGATTGTTAGTGGTCTCTCTTGTAATTTTAATTGCCGTGCCGATTGTTTTCAGTCGTTCAGTGAACATCGCTTGCAGGAGTACTCAAAGTGCCACGCGTTAAACCATTACATAAAAAATAAACATAATAAATTCTTTATTATGTTGGAGTATAACTCTGTTAATGTTCATTGAAACACTCACCACAGCACGCACTACAAAAGTGAGAACCGAGTGGCAGTATAGGTGATTTTGGAAATTTTTTTAACAGTTCAGCTGAAAGCCCACGCATACTTCCATCGTCCTGAATATTGAATGAGTGCAAATTTGTATTGTGAAATGCTGCTTTCTGTCCGAGGTCTGCATGATAAAAACAGTGCCTCTTACTACTATTTCACCTCAGATGTGATGTATAAATGGTATAAAAGGTTGGCTTATACGCACCCAGATTTGTTGGCAAGATTTTGCAAAGTAAACTTGTCGAACGCAAAAAATTTGGCCTCAATTTTTTTTTTCCAGATCTAATTAATCTATGCCGTGCTCAAGAGCCATTATGGCTCTTAAATGTGATCGAAGATGATTATCAGGTTTTGGGTGTACATATGAGGCTATCAACTCGATGTAAGATTTGGATCACTCTTGGGCTGTCTGCAAATTATTTTTCTCTAAAATCATGTAGCCTTTCCCTCAAAAGTCACATAAATGTGCTCTAAAGTTAATTGAAATGTGGAATACAAGTTTATTGTTTGATTTAAATTATAAATTTATTAATGGAAGCCTCGCTTTTAGCCCTGGCTAAATCTATATATTATTTCGTGGATGTAACCAATCGTTATTGGTTACACCAAAAAATTTCGCCTGTCTCATTTGCGGACAGGGTTTCAAGAAAACAACAAAGAATCATTGTTGCAGGCCCTAATCAAGTTGTATACATTTACTAGATGTGAACTGTTCTACAAGAATTTTTGTGCACGTAATCAGCTCTTGTTTCATATAGAAAGGTTATCAAAATTTCTGAACAGATGCTTCGAGATATGAGCCTTTCATTTGTTAAACAGTGGTTGGTAATCAATCATACCATAGTCTCAATATACACTTAACACAAATGTATAGTGATTGTGTGAATGGCAAGCACAATGCAACAGATCATGACGTCACAACTCAAGCAAACCCGATTTTGCATTTACTCAGATAATATGCGCATTCTGATTGACCAAGAGTTGTGTTGGCAAGAGGATTTGTAGTTGTGAAGTCATGATCTTTGGCAGTGCACACGCTTTTACGCAATCACTGTACATTTGTGTTAAGTCTACAATGAGACTACAGTATGCTTGATTACCAACCACTGCTTTAACGAATGAAAAGCTTATATCTCGAAGCATCTGTATAGAAATTTTGATAACCTTTTTGTATGAAAAAAGAACATTATCCTCCCCATTGATATGCAGATCGCCCCATTTCTTTTGTATTCTTACTACTTAAGAAACTTATCGGGAGGACAGAGGGCACCTATCTGATAGAGGCGCGGGTGCTTCTTTGATATTACAGCCAAGGGGGTCAACGCTAATTTGGGGACATGTGCATGGACCGTTATTGAGGAAATATGGTACAGAAGTAGTCGAATCACAGATGTGTAACAGGTTAAATCAAAATGTTAAAATGAACGCACAGGACAGGCCACCAAACACGTTTACCCAAAATAGAAGTACCTTTTGTTGAAGGAAAAAGTTGATAAACGCCATGCTTATTAAGCGCCCTCCTTCCCATAAGCACCTCTCCTTTGAGGACATACGGTATTTCCATAAGTTGTAGAATATAACGAAGCGTTTAAAGAGCTGCATCATAACACCAGCACTACTATGATTCTAAGAGAAGGGTTTTGAAATGACCTTAATGCTAGAGGCCCCTAGACTGTGAGTGTATGCTCACATCAGAGTTTGTTTTATAGAGTTGCAGCTTCAGCCTTGTACTAAATTCTCCAACAGCTCCAAGTAAGGCTTCTTTCACTTTATGTTGATAGATTAAATGTCAAGTTGTAAAAATTGCACGTGTCTCGAAGCATCTGTACAGAAAATCTTGATAGTTTGGAGCAAGCAACTAGTTCACAAATGTTATGTGTATCGTAGATGATGGGATGCTGAACTGAAATTTCCTCCACAATTTTTTTACTTCATTCCTCAATACTCTGTTCCTGAATCATATCCATCTCTTCCTGGTATTCTGTTTCTTCGTTCTGTGGCTCATCAGCTGCAGCAACTCTTTTTGCAGCAAGGTGTGAAAAAAACTTGCAACGTGGTGAGACATCAGAAAGCTGGAGGCACCAAACTTAAACGACCCATCCGCGTTTCTGGCCATCCTCCTCGGCTTAGAAACATGAGAGGGATCTGCTTTGTGCCCAGTCCTTTTGCCGATTTGGAATACTTCTGTATGGTGTTGTTTCTGGCTCTCGTTCAATCAGGTTCTCTGAATACTCATGGATTTCAATGCCTGGCATGCTTTAATATCTTCTACAGGATTTTCAACAGTGGCAGTACCCTGTTCTAGCTTTGTTGCAAAAGATGTAATTGCCTTATCGAAAAGCGTTTCATTCTTTAGAGCATAGCTGTGCCTTCCGACATCAAGATGATGTTGAAGTGACAAAAATCTTTGGAAGGACTTTATGCATCCCTTTTCAGGACATCAAAATAGTTTATCGTGACACTCTTGGTCCTCGTCACTCAGTTCATTCGAAGCTTCTGTTATGCCCAATCTTAATTGGACATCTTGCTGCGTGAAGGTTACTTTTCTCCATAGTGTGATGGTAGTAAATTGAGCTTTTGGAATTTTGGCTTCCTTCAGTATGTTTAGCACTGGTAGAGTAGCTTTCTGGTAACGTAAACTGACTCCATGGGAGGAATTTACCAGGGTCAACTGTGTGTGATCTCCAGACTCCTCAACTGCTATAGTCAATATTATTGATATTCAACGTTATTGGTGAGGCTAACACCATCCCACTTTACAGGCACAGACTTGGGAATATCTAGTTTATCGCATAATGTAGCCCTTACTCCAGACACACCACCAGGTGACTCTACGGCATTCTTCAATTGATCAGCAGTCTCCACATCTTGACCAGAGTTATGATATATTCAAACGTGATTGTTGATAGTTGCTGCTTTGCGGTGACACTACCCTTGGCCTCCTTGTGGATCTGAGAAATCTAGTTTCACATTAATGTGGTACATGATAGCTACCTGCTGAATTGCAAGTAACGTGGATGCACCTTGGGAGCATCCAGCATTATCTTGCCTAAAGTACACACAATTTACGTCATCAGGCATCGCTGTCTTGAGCTGCTTCAAAATGTCATCGATGATAGCAACTGTGACGCTGTCTTGGTTACAGCTTTCAAGAATGTGTAGAAATGTTAGCATTTGAGGTTGACCCTCTGAATTTCTTAAGACAGTGGTAGTGTGCCACGAAATACCTCGTTTGCCAAACCAATCAGATTGGCTCTCGTGATATTTTCGTGGGAGGTATCTCGTGGGCCACTCCAAGACTAGAAGTATAGAGTAAGTGTCTAGCGACTTTAACAAATCCAACTGTGCTTTATCTCAGTTGATTGCTCTGAGTAAATGAGCTTTCCACGCTTCGATTTTTTGTTAGCCATAGAAACGACATATTTCATCTCATCTTTCGCTCCAGTTGAGGTATCAACACTTTCCAGGGCGAACTCAATTTCGCTAACACCCTCACATCTAGAATTGTGCTCATGATCACAGGTGCTGACGAAATCGGGATCACTCTGGTAACTGAGGCGTAGGCCCAACAGTGATCTGGAACTGATGGTAATGGTGGGAAAGTATTACTTGAATTTTCACTGACAATGTTCTAAAATTTCAATTTCAATCAAGTTAAGCTGAGCACAAAGTCGCTGAGAAGTCACACCAAACTGTAAGTCATTTCATTCACATGGATTTACCCTTTGAGCGACAGTACGTGTAAATGAATACCCCCAGGGAGTTTTATTCGTTAAGTTAAGAGTCTGTACATTATTGCTTTGCAAGAAGTCATCTTTATCTGTTCAGGGTAAGGTAATAGACTTCAAGTAATGTAGCAGATAGAGTGTCAGAAAATAGCTCAAACCAACAGCTCTGCTCTGGTCTTTTGGCCATGAGAGGCCTTTGCTGTGGGGTTGTCACTTAGTTTTTGGATGACATCTGCTGATTCTTCAAACGCTTTTGCACCCTCTGCTGAGAAATAATCAAGTCCTTGAAGGGATTTTCACACATACTTTAAGTATCCTACAGGGTGTAGTACGGCTCATAGGAACAAAGCCAGTCTCTTGGCAATGGCTATGGTACTGTTGGACAATCAGGTCGGGAACCATGGTCCTCAGGACATTTGGAACCTTGATCTCGGGGTTGGAGGACAACTTCAAGATATTCTCACCAAATCTTGCATTACATACTGACTGGTGATGACTGTCAAAAAGTGGTAAAGTTTCTCTGGTGAGACTTTCATTCTTCTGTTTTCAACTAAAGGAGCAGGAGAGCCGTGTCTAAGGGTATCACTTATCTTAAGCCATAGATTCACTCTATCTTTTTTGCAGGCACAAAAAGCATACCAGATAGGGCTTCTGTTCACGCATTCAGGTCAACCTGCAACACGCCCATCTCTAAACAGGAGAGTTGCGTATCAAATATGTGTTCATACTATAGTGGATAGCTTTTTGTGTCTGCACATAAATTGTATGCCTTCGAAATTTAATTATTTTGTAGACAAAGAACAGAGCAGTATCTCCCCAAATCATTTTGCAAGATATTTAGAGGTTGTAACAAAAGGCTGTGATGGGTTAAAGACGGTACAGTAATCATTGTTTGCACGCGAGGCTTTCAAACCCATGTCATAATTGAGCACCTCAAATGGCGATTTCAACGGATTATGGTTATTTCCATATTTCTCTGAAATAAAAGGATATTTCACCAAAAAAACTAGGCAGTGATTTTAGTTAGACGCTAGCCTTTCTAACATTAAAGTATCACAGGAATCGAATTTTCCACCCTTGCCACAATATGTTTGATTTTTACCGACAGGTGCTCTTAACATTGTTTGAGGAAAACTGATGTTGATCATTCTTGAGCCTTAAAGGGTTAATAATTTTTTAATTCTCCCATAATCAAAATGGTGTAGTCAAGGGGATGCTTACCAGCAATTTTCTATACAGTTGTAATTCTGGTTTGTTATTGAGTATTGAATTTAAAAAAAAACTGCTTTAAGGAGCACCCCTGATACGCCAGGAGTTAACATAATACATACAGTTCATGTAACAAAGAAAACACTTTTCAAAAAGTTTCATGTAGGCCAACCAGTGTCTTATATGTCAATGGATGTAGCACCGTAAAGATGTTTTTTTTACTTGTTGCAACGAAATGGTCATCATGTTTGAATAATGCTACAATCCTGGTCAAAAGGTTTTGGGGCACCTCCCCTTTTTCACGTGTTTTTGTATGGAATTTGCAGCCAACCTGCAATACACACTATAAACATGGCCTTAACAAGATTCCCCCCCCTCCGAACAAAGTAGAGGTCCTTAACGTTTGCAAGATATGTAAAAAGTGTTTGACTTGTAACACCCAACACTGTTGATGGGAGGAGGGGAAAAAACTTGAATTACATTTTCATCACCTGAAACACAGTGTCCTAAACGTTTTGACTAGGATTGTAGGCTGTTTATGTTAGCCTATGGCAAGTTGGACAGAACCAATCTCCTTCAGGCAGTTATTTCATCCTTAAATATTACATATGGTACCATTTTATCTGGTATGTATCATTGTCACACCCGATAAATGTGCTTCCTCCCACATGTCGCTGACAGTAGCACTAAGACCCTTCGACATTGTCTTCATCACATGTTGATGATGGTGAGTTAATGTGGGCGTGAACTTCACAACCTGGACGTATATAACACCTACCATTTCAGGCAAAAGGCATTTGCTGAAAATTCGGTGGCAGCACGTAGTGAATTGGCCTGAAGCTCCCGGTCATGAAGAATTCGCTGCGAAAAGATCTTGTGTTGTCCACACTACAAAGTCGCAATATTTAACCTCGCAGATAAATATCTGTGCTTGAACTTGGTAGGAGTGAGCATGGCATTTGTCCAGGTAAATGTTACCAAGTTCATCTTATTCTAAACAAAAGTTTTTCTTGCCAGCAGTATCAGAGATTACTGCATCTTTATAGACATATCAACATTTTGTTTCACATACACCCTGCCCACAGCATTTGCAATTTACAAACCCCTCAGGGGAAGCTCCCAACTATGGCCACCTTGGATCAATATTCAGACCACTGTCTGAAATTGTTAAAGACTTGTGGAATTGATTAATGGATTTCTGGTAAGCTTCACGTGCCCTACCCTCATTTCTACATCCCCACTTTGTGCCTGCAGTTGAAAACTTATGGGCTTCAGGGTAATAATAATAGTAATAAGTGTAACATATTGACTTAACCAGACTCTGCAGGTTTTGCTGGATTTGTGCTGCAAGCCGAACATCCATGTGCTTTTTTCTTGTGTGTAAGTGGTGGAATCTCTAACTCTAACACCAGACTACTGAGCAAAAACACTGCAACAACGTGAGAACAAGCTTCACACAATTCTGCCATACAATCACAGTGGGATGCTCTAACAGTGCCATCTTTTTCGGCCAAAAACCACACTTTAAGAGGGGTATCCCTGGCTCTCTGAGTGGGTTACCTGTTCAAGGTATCCCATAAAAAATGCCAATTAAGAAAACCCTGCCGCTTGTATATGTCTTTCAAAACAATGAAGTTGAAAATAGAAGAATCAATCCCGTTTTTTAAAAGTGGCTAGCTGTGTAGCGGTTCAATCTTATCTTTGGTTCAAAGCTCATTATCACACATTAATATACCCAGAAAGAGGAAAACAAAATTGAAACCAAGGATGAACTGAACCACTGCAGATATTTTACAATATTGATCCAAATAAGTTCTTCAACTCAGAATGAAACATAACACAGCCTTCAAATCAGCTGAGTTCAACACTTTATTTGTATCACCTGAAGGTAGTTTTACACATAAACTAAAATCTGTCACTGACAAAACTAGAAATAACATGCAGTGAAAATGTTAAGACAGGGAACAACGAACTTAATAAGCTCATCTTCACTCACCCTCCCAAACACAACAACTTTATCTGAACCAACGCATTGCATGTGGAGGGTGTTCACCCAGCCAGAGACGAAAAAATAATACGCATCCATTGACTTGTATGCCTTCATTTGGCTTTTTGTTGCCCATGAGGTTGGCAAGACTAAATAATTCACATAATAATGAATTCCACATTTTCTGTGTAATCAATGTTCTTTAACGAATAAGTGTTGAACCCACGTACACTAACTTTTTCCCATATCTTAAATTTTGCTGGGCTATCTAGACCCACAAAATAATCTGAAAACTGCATGTTTTCGTTCAGCGCACTCTGTATGGCAGCCATCTTGACTGTCTGGTTGTCCCCCAACATGGCGCTGGCAGATAACGTAGTGATTTTTGGTCACGTGGTTTCAAACAAAGAATAGCATGAATTAGAAGAAACATGACTGCAGTATGATTGAATTTTATCATAGCAATATATGATACATCTTTAAGAAGGAGGGAAAATATCGAATTTACCAACGAAAGATGCCACTTATAAGGATCCAATAGGATACAGGATGGTTCTAACTAGACATTTAATAGCTTGGATGAGAGATAAGTCTACTACAAACTGGGTCACATGTGTTGGCTTTATTCAAACATACAGAGTTTTCGTCTTTAAGGCTTCTCTGGTGTAGAAAAGTTTAAAATCAAAACCTGGATAAAAATTACACAATTTGAAATGGGTACATACACACATGCAAGGTGAAAAACAAATGCAGGGTTATGATATCAATGTTGCCAAGTGCTGCTTCAGGCAGTAAAGCACATCTCAGCTAGGTCTCACAAGTATGTTTAGTCAGAACTAGAACTAGAAAAACATGGCAGGTCATACACACGTCATATATAGTTTCCAGGCCCTTACGGTTCCAACCAACTCGCGGGCTCATAGTAATGTAATATCAACATCCTTCTCTCTCAAATAAAATAAGTAAAATAAAATAAACCATAGATGAATAATAGACACAAGTTCAGTTCTTTGTCTAAGTGTCTCTTTGATAGTTAAATATAAGTTATTTGCAACATGCACTAATGTTCAAGAAACTAAAAGTTGAACTCGTAATCTTTGAACCAGTCAGGTTCCTTCCTGATTCGTTGTGGCCTTGTCAGACTGCTTGAGACTTGTTCAGTCTGTTGGTGTCCTGCGACTTCTCAGTGTCCATGTGCCCTTGTAGTTTGTGTGAATTCAATGCAGAAGCAGGTGAGGAGGAATTCTCTGGTGACATCTCAGGTGTTGTAGGGCATAGGTGCACTCTGTTTCTCCTGTATACACCATCTTTCCCGTCTATTATGTAGGATCACTCGCTGTGCTCAGTCTGCATGGTTTCTCTACTCTCCTCCATTCAGGTCTCCTTCCTTCCTTGTATTGGTAGTAAACTGATTGACTAGCGGTGAGTCGCTTTAGGTCTCGGGCACCTTTGTTGTAGTTACTCTTAGTGGCAAGGCAGCACTTAGCTCTTTTCATCATAACTTATTTCTTACTTGGGATGCTCTTGGTTCCTGTAGACGGTAGCAGTGATCGAGTATTTTTGCCAAACATCATTTCGGCAGGGCTTATGCCTGTATCCTGGCGTGGCGTGTTTCTCAATTCCAGTAGGGCTTCATATTGATCAGTGCCATCTCGTAGTGCTTTACACATCATTGTTTTGGTCATCTTCACTGCGGCCTCCATTTTTCCATTTGACTGGTGACTAGTGAAAAAACTACTGTTTCTTTATGTGGTCGAGACAAAAAAGTTCTCGTTCCCATTTCAGGTTATGTCAAAAAGCCGGATAGAAAAATCAGAGAGTTTATCTGCAGAAAATCTCAACCATTGGAATCGATCCTATTTTGATAGAGGGGAAAAGCGTCGAGTCAGACTGCCTTCCACCTGTAGAATCTACTGATGTTATGTGTTATTTGGTTCTTGAAACTAACTTCTACACGTAAAAGTAGTTGAAGTCTTTCCGAAGTCTCGAGGCATATAATCAAATGGTATCGGGCTTCGTTTGCAACATACAGGGACATATAATCTCAAACTACTTTGTGGTTTTAGTGAAAGTGCGGCATTCACAATGCATGATTGAGGCCTTGATACCGACCTGGATTATTACGAGAACAGATGGGACCATCAACTGTGCTCATTGTTTGGGATGCAAGGAGGGATTAGCTGAGTCATGTTTCCATATAGCCAGCTTGCTTTTTTATCTCGAGACCTGGACAAAGTTAAATGGACGGCTGTCGTGTACTCAATGAAAAGTGCTCCTCGATACTGCCAAACTTTGCAAAAGAGGTTGAAAATGCCAGGATCCAAGACAAATCAGCTAAAAAAAATGAAAGCTGACCTTGGTGTAACAATAGAGAATATCTATCCAATGACCACCACTCTTCTGTGGGCTCGAACGTCTTCACTGAAAGCCCTGTTCAGAAACCGAAAGTACCAGTGCCGACACAAGTGGAAGTGGAATGCTTTTACTCATCTAAGCAAATGTAAAACAAAGCCTGTAGTGCTGAGTTTGATGCTCCCCTATGCTGACAGCTACGTGTTGCTCAGTCGCAAAATCCCTTGTGTAATGGATTTGTAAAATTGCCCTGCAATGAGCTGATAAACCTTTGTGAAAGAACTAACACTGATATAACCGAGGAACAAATGATACTCAATTGCACAGGTAAGTGGGACAAACCTTTTTAAGCATAGGGAAGGGAGAATTGGTGCTTCCCAGAGTAAGGCTGCAGCACATTCAGGCCCCGCATTGCCATCGCAGTCTTTGATTGAAGCGATTTGTTACCCGGAACTGCACAAGTTAAATACCAAGGCCGTGTGTCACAGGTGCAAGCATGAAGCCTCGACTATCTGTGCCTTGAGGAATTCATGAAAAAAACTTGTGTGAACTTTAAGATTGTAAAATGTGGTCTCTTTATTAATCACGAATGTCCTTGGATACACGCTACCCCTGATTGTCTGTGCTCATATGATTGCTGTGATGATGGTTGTGAGGAAATCAAGTGTCCCTACTGCATAGAGAACTGTGATTTTGATTCATATGTTTCAAAACCATCCTCTTGAACATTTCTGGGCAGTTCACCGCTCAACAGAAATGAATACTATTACCAGGTTCAGCAACAGCTATGTAGCACTAAGCTAAACTACAACTACTTCATTGTCTGTGCTGGGAATGAAGCAGTTAATTACCTCAAGTTCGTCCAAACAAAAATTCTTCCAGACAAAGAACATTGGAACTAAGTTTTAGCCAAGTTATAGAAATTTTGGAGAATTTGTGTTTTGCCTGAGGTACTCGCTTGATGGTACACAAGAACAGTGAATCTATCTAGAGATGGGGCACTACTCGTTTATGCTGCGTGGTATTGCAGACAGGATACTGAGGAAGATACCATCAAGTGCTGTAATCAGATCGTGCCATTCAGCAGTTTCACTTGTCATGCTTGGGTATTGATGCTATCTTCAAGACCTGGTACTGGTGAGGATCGAAGCAACAGTCAGCTAGTTTAATAAGTGAAGCTCTGAAGATGAACTCAATCTGTACTTGCAAAACTGTAGCCAACAAAAGCGACAAACTGCTAAAGTGCACTAACGTGGACTGCCCTGACGAGATGTTTTTCTGTTTGTCATGTCTGGGAAGGAAGAGAATGCCAAATACTCCAATATCACTTTCCGCCATCTTGGATTGCGTGCCGCACCAAAGCGAGGCTGGACGGGCACCTGCTAACAAGTCAACATGGCGGAAGGATTGTTGTCTGCTGCGTGGTCGAAATCTCTCAAAGGTATTCCGTATTTTGACTCATCTTTCATCGAGAAATGGCTTGAGAAGGACGGTAAAGTCCCAAAAAAAGTAATAACTCGTGGTTATAGTAATTTCTGCGAGGGTTATATCTTTGATGTCGAAGGTAAGTTTCAGTCCCATTGATTTGGTTTTGCTCTGGCTGAGAAATTGTACGCGAACAGTGGTGTGATTCCCATTATTTATGCTGTTTTGGGCATCATATATTGTGTTTCTCCTTCGATTATGCCTTGATTCGATGATTGAAATCCCTATGATATAATCTATAGTGTATAGTGTATTAAACTTTCATATTCGCCCTTTACTTTCAGTAAAAACTCAAGACACAGAAGTCCTCGTAAGGGCTAAAAGTTATAAATCCCAGCGGAAAAATGAGGAGCTATGGAGGTTACATGTATTGTTACTGCCTTATTGCTTCGTCTGAGCTCAAACCAATCTAGGAAAAATATCTTAAGTGTACTTTCTGGTTTCTGTTTGTTTGTTTGTTTGTTTGTTCTTTTTTTTACAGTTAGTTTCTTACTGTTTATTGATTTGCTGGGCACTATTTAAAAAACTGTGATTGAGTAAAAAATAAAAAGAAGAACGTTTCGCACACATTGCAAATCAGATATAAATACATATCAATTGTTTCTTTAGGTGAGAATATCAAGGGATGCAGAAGTTAAAATAACCAGTACCTCATGCAACTGTGAGGCAGGAGCAGGTCTCTGCAATCATGCAAGAGGCCTGGTATACCTCCTTGAACACTACAGAAAACTTGGTTTAAGAAGTGTACCTCCCGTCATGTCTAAAACAAGTCTTCCACAGACATGGCATGTTCCACAAAGGACAGCAGGAATTAATCCCCGTGATGTACAAGAGGTGCTAGTGCAACAGGTAAAACCTCCAAGCAGTGATGCTCCTTCAAAAAAGAAAGTACGCAGGATAGATGGCGTACGGTCCACCCTGTACAACCCAATTCCAGAACAATTTGGGGAACCTAAAATTATAGATTCCATGAAGGACATATTCAAAGTATATAAAGACATGCAAATAAATAGCATTGTTCCCGAAACGAACAGATATGACTTTGTGGACAGTAATCTCGGAAAGGTAGCTTGTGGCTCAGTTATCTCATACCAGCAGCGCCAAAACACAACAAATGACCCCAAAATTCACATGAACATTGACGGGCCAGAAAATCCACCAGCTTTTGATGTGCCATCACTTGAAAACCATTATTTATTTGTTCCCAAATTGGCAGAAATAAACTTTATTGAAGGACTCAGTGTATCACTAGAACAATCTTGTTTATATGAGGAAGAGACAAGGGAGCAATCTGACACACAGAAGTGGCATGACTTGAGGGCACAGAGATTATCTTCCAGTAAATTTAAAGATGTGTGTATACGAAGAGCTGACTTTGAATCATTGGCAGTCAGACAACTAAAGAAGACTGTGCAAACTTCGGCAATGAAGCATGGCATAAATACAGAAGAAGAGGCAGCTTCTGCATATGCTGACAGTGGAGACTGCAATGTGAGGTTTGATGCAGAATTTTGTGCAACGATGAAGATGAAATTAGACACGTTTTACTTTGAATACCTCCTCCCTGAACTGTTAAAAAAAGCAGGGGCTTAACCTGCCTTTTGCAGCACTGTTAAAAATAATGTCGAACCTGCACCCAAAATTTCCATCTCCGTAGTCGAAGAGGTGTAAATATGTAATTATTTTCTGGAATCAAACAAATTGTAAACAAGTTTCCATGGTTAACTGTTACAACTGACATTACTGAACCGAGCTTTGCCAAGGAATGTGTAATTCCTGAGAATGTCCATACTCTTCCCATAGAAGGGATTTGTAAATGCCTGGAGATGAAGGGGATACAGGGCGGGAGGGGGGCATTTTTTTCAGAGGGTGGGAGATGGAAGTGGGTCTAAAAAAAATATCCTTTGTGAGGGAGGTATGGATAATTCAAAGATCTAAACAATACTGACAAGCAAGTTATAGTTTCAATATAGTGGACCTCGAAAGTTTGTAAGAAGACAGCAAACTGTCCAAATTTGGTTTACCGAACCAGCCAACGAAAGTGGCAAAACTTTGTGAAAAATTTGATATTCTTTGATTCGTCTGATTGCTCGCTCAACATGTATACAAAGGCGGGCAATCTGTTGTGTTTCTGTTACTTCTTTGTAGGTGAACTGCATAGACCTTGTTTTAGACAAGAAAGGAGGGATTGTCAATGTAGCTTTTTTGGGTTCTAATAAATCCTGAATCAGGAAACCCTTATCTGCCATGACCTCGTCTCCTTCTTGGATTAGTGACAGAATACCACTGTGTCTTGTAATCTCTTTGTCTGATATACTTCCCTGATATAGGGAACTTATAAATGTTACAGCGCCATGAGGAGCAATACCAACTAGGCATTTTAAGGTGGTATGCGACTTGTATGCTGAGTAAAATTCTGAGTTTAGAACCGTGGAGCTAGGCCTTTGGACCTTGATTTCGGTACAGTCTAAAATGACTCTTGTTTTAGGGTATATGGTTTTGAAACACTCAGGCATACTATTTTTTATCTGAGCAGTTGTAGGCCAAATTGGCACTTGGCCAAGCATTGTATACAGAAAATTTGCCCAAGTTAAAATAATTCTGCTAACAGAACTCTTGCTAATATTGAATCTTACTCCCAAGTCTGTCTCCAGTAATCCTAATCTTAGTCTGATCATAAATAAAAAAAATTGGTCATAGGGTGACAATGCCAAATTTCCACAGCTACGCCTTCTCTTGTAGTTTTCTTTGCCTCGTTGACGCTGAATCTGGGACCATTTTATCATAGTTTTTGCATATGGTTCAACCCAGCTATAAAAGCTATCGAATCGTTCTTTTGATACAAAGCCTGTGTAAAATGACAGCAGTTCAGGATCCTTGGAAATATTTTCAGCTCCAAACCTGGATCCTTTGAGATCTTCCACCTCTTCCTCTAAATCTTTGATTTTGGCTTTAAGGATTTCAATTTGTTCCTCTGCACTCGGTTCGGCAGGTTGAATGTTTTCGTTTTCCAGTTCAGCATTCATTTCTTCCATTGGCTCAGCGCCAGCACTGGCTTCCTGCACTGTCACTTGTTCAGTCACTTGCTTTAATTCAACATCCTGGCAGAATGAATCGACAATTGATTGTCGTCGCTCCTCCTGTGCTTGCATTTCGTTTATTTCTTTTAAATTTTGTAGTTTATTTTTGGAGCGTTCGTTGCAGGCCTTGGTCCATTGAAACTGAGATGGCACAACTCCTGCTTTAAGGCGTGTTCTCCCTGTTATAATTTTAAACATATCACTTGGCTTGAAGTGAGTAGAACACACTAGAGTACAGCCTTTCTTGATCTAGGAAACAAAGTTTAAAACTCCAAATTAAAATGCTGATAACAAGTGAGATTCTCGTAGAATATTACTGACCACATCCGAGTCAATGAAAACAAACAAACTGGTTACACGTGCGTTTGACAGCTTCGGCCAAAAGCGCTTGAATCTAATAATCTAGGTTCGATAAATTGACTGCACATTTTGTCTGGATATGTATTGAGTAATTATTTCTGGAATAAGAAGCGGACCAAATGAGTCTTAAATCGAAAAACTCCAGGAGAATCTCAGAATATTAATGAACATATTCGAGTCAATGAAAACAAACAAACCAGTTCCACGTGCGTTTAAATTGACAGCTTCGGCCAAAAGCACTTGAATCTAATAGTTGAGGTTGATTAATTGACTGGATTTTATCAGGATATGTATTGAGTAATTATTTCATGAATAAGGAGCGGGCTAACTGAGTCTTAAATTTAAAAATTTTCAATATCGGCAACAAATAAAACTCTTGCGTTTGACAGCTCGCTGGTCGCGGCTCGTTACATGTCACACTAACCTCAAAATGTGGTCCTTCATCTCGCTTTATTGCGGCAATCCACTGCGATCGCTGTGTTTCGTTTGAGGGAAAGTTAAAAAACGACAAATCCTTTCCACTTTCGTTGCGTTTGTCGTTAGTACGGTAATTTACAGAACAATGATCGTTTGCCATATTTGTATATGGTATCTCCACTCAAAGCCCTTGTATATACAACCCTTCAAATGCCGGCATGCCCATCCAGCCTCGCTTTGGTGCGGCGCGCAATCCAAGATGGCGGAAAGTGATATCGGAGTATAGCAATAAAGTTTGGTTTTGTCCAGCTTGTATGGTGAGTAATGCACAAAAGCCGACACAACAGAGGGTACAGCTACTAAGCCAGCGGCCATGCATGTCACAGCAACACCAGGCCAACTGTCATGTATGTCTCAACAAACACCAAGCCAACTGTCACATGTCTCAACAAACACCAAGCCAATGGTCACGCACTTCACAATCAACAACAAGCCAACAGCCACGCAAGTGTCAACAAACACCAAGCCAACAGCCATGCATGTCTTGTCAAACACCAAGCAGCAGTCAGATAAGCCACAACAAAAGCAGAACCAACAGAGTCCTAGAATTGAAGAAGTAAGAATTGTGAGAACTGTCTTAAGAAATAGGCCTCCTCGTGTCAAGTATGGGCCAGAGGGAAAAAATTTTTCTTGAGTGGAGGGGGAGGGGGGAAGATTAGGTTCATCGTATATAGTTGATAGGTAAATAAAAGAATCTTTATTACAAAACCTCAATTAAAATCCTATTTACAATCAACCTGCTGTTACAAAAAATCTAATTAATTCATCAAAGACACTATCTACAATTCGATCCGTTACAAAAGAAATCCCTCGTCCTTCATTAGAGAACAAAAACAATCCTATATATTATAAGTGAAGATAGAAAAAACTATTCATTTACAAATTCTAAAAAATAGAAGTAACTAAACCTTACATAAAAGAAGAGGAAATAGATATAATTAATAATAAAAGTTCAAAATTCTATAAAATTAAGAATACCATTATGCAGAGATATTAAGATCCTGCAATCGAATTATACTAATGACGGCTAAACCAGTGTCCATAAAAAGCCCTAAGTATAAAAGCATATAGACACGTATTTCAGATATCCGCACTAGCGACATTTATTTTACAGTCTAATGATTGCTCTAGCTTGCTACGAAACGGCGTTCGCGAACCTCTGACGCATGCATGTACCGATCTTAAGAGTTCAAACGAGATCTGTGTCCTGAGCCAAGTGATTACAACGTGATAAGGCTCGTATATAGTTGATAGGTTAGTTACAAACCAGTTGTTATTTTGAAAGAGAAATGATAAAATATTTTGTTAATCAGAAAACTGTCGTTACTAGAAATATTTCATATCTTTTTTACATTTTCATATTTGTTCTTGTGGAACCAGGCTGTCAGAATTGAGAAAATTAAAGCATAACAATTGTTAGTTTGTTCTTCACCGGCGAAAATGTCTGCGCATGCTCTACTAAAAATGACACGTGATCTATTTCGGGCAATGTCATTGGCTCTGAGGCAAAAATACCCGCGAAATGTTGTTGAGATGAAAGAAGCGATGGCAGCTTTTTTTGGCAGTGACAGCGTTGCAATTTCTTGCCACTGTAAGAGATCAAAAATTATTTTCATCAAAGTTTTGACGGAAGTGTGTTCTCTAGAGAATATAGCGTCCTGGAACTGGCGAAAAATCGCAGTGGCATGGTCTGATTCAGTGTTTTTGACGTTGAGATCGCTGGTTTGCATGTGGAAGACATGTCGAAAAGGTGGGTAATTTTTACTCTCTTTGTTTACTGCATGTTCCATGCAACTCGGTACAAAAAGAAATTATAAAGTAGTGGAAGAAAAATTATTGGGCTTTGTTTTGGTATATAAATTAGCTTGTACCGAGTTGCACGGAAGCGACAGTTTTGTTAAATGTATATCCCGTTTTTGTGTCAAAAATTCGACTTTGTGAATCTAACATTCGACAACATTCTACTGTTGATAGAAGAGCGTATTACAACGCTATCCAAAATGTTTTTGTTGTTTAGTTCGAGTTTCTTATCACGAATTCAACCAAAAAAAGTAGAGGGACAGACATTTTTGGGCTTTGTTTTGTTAATATGACTTAGCTAGTACTTTGTTGCTGGAAAAACTATATTTAGATGCTAAATTTCCGTGTGTGTGTGTGTTTACTCCGTTTATGGCAGAAAAATAAGCTTACGCTTGGTTTAAGTTAACCTCGTGTCACTCGGAACAAAAGGAAATTATAAAGAAGGTAAAGAAATTTTCTGAGCGATTGTCTTGCTGTGTAACTTGTCTTGTGGCTAGTGGATCGAAGGCGGTCGGCTTTGCGGCAGTTTTCTAAAGTGTGTAGTTCGAAACGTGGTGTTGTCGATCGATGCAGATTTCATTGTTGTTGCACATTATTACAGCTTTGTATGTGAAAGAAATTTGAGTTTTATCCAAACTGTCGAATGAAAACATGTGAGAGTGTTTTCATTAAACGCTTAGACTGTCTTGGAGCTACAGTTCGATAGGTCCAGCAACATTTTGATTTGTAAAAAAAATTCTGTTTACAGAATGTGTACAGCTGCTGTACATTTAGGCTCGCAATTTTATAATTGAAGGATTGAAGTTTAGATTATTTTGCTCATAAACTTGGCTTGGGATTATCCACACGACGACTTACTTGTTACTTTCTTCGTTAGGAACCGCACTTGTGGACATTATTTCCCCAGTGTACAATTTTTTAGTACTAGATTTTTGTACACAGAGCTTTCTGTGGGGGTTGCCTCTTTGCTTGAAAATTGTATCCTGGAAGGAGATGAACAGGGTAAATTTCCTGTGAATGCTTTTGTTTTTCTGTCCATCGTTTTTGGCTTAATTTTTCTGGAGCAAAGTTACGACGGTATGATAGAGTTAACATGCTATTAAGTATTCAAAAGTTCTTTCCAAGAAAAAAAATTATCACAAATTAAACTTACAGGAGTTTAAAGTTTGGAGTAAACTTTGAGTCTTAATGAAATTTTAGTTGGATCATGTTGATGAATGCAGTTGTGTAGGATATACAGTTTCCAATTTTGATCTTCTGTCAGAATTACGAGAGAACACTCAAATACAGATCTCATTCAAACTTTACAGTTTCACTGTAATTATTGTTTGTTTCTATTCCTATAAACTTATCATTAGGTCTGCATTTTGCATAAATTTAATGTGATATATATTATTTGAAGGGGTTGTTGTTTCACAGTGAAGTAGTTTTGAATTTCACTTTGTTTTTTTGATATGAAGTTCAGTTTCTTCTTAGTTGTTGGCTAAGGCAGTGTTGAAGTATGTGACATTTTAACATATTTTATTTATTGCTCTTCAGAAAAGATTGATTGATCCTGCATCAAACAAAGTGCAGCCTCATAAACAAGATTTTTGACGAACAAATGTGTACTCAAGCAAAGCATATGTCCCTGACAGTGTCAATAAAATTTATTAATGGAAAGATCTGGGTCTTTACTCCTTTGTGGCACTTTGACTACGCATCAGTTTTCCAAACTATGTACTAAAAAAAGCAGATATAATCAGTATTTTTTCCAACTAACATATTTGTAATCAAAGGTCTCTTCTTTTATATAAATTATTTCCCTTATTTAAAAAATTTCATTATCTTATTCAGATCAAGCACAGTAACCATTGAAAAGAAAAAAAAACCTGCTCAGTCATAGACGGCTTAAAAGTTTTGATCTTAAAATTGCACCCTTTCACAATGAAAAGAACATGAATGCAGACACCACAGTTCATTTAGCTCATGTCCAAGCTTTTTTTTGTACATTATAAAGTCTTGCTGGAGAAAAAAAAATTTTGCTCTATCTTTTCGGTGAAAAAAATAAAATAAAATAACTTCCAGGTGTCTAAGCAATTTCAAAGGACCCATCGTGTCTTATTTCTCCGGCGCATTGAGCTGTCAAAGGCCGTTTTTCCTAGTGACCCGGCTTTTATCAGAAATATTGTTGTCCTTCATGATTGTGAAGAGTGATCGCTTAAACAAGTCCAAAGCTGAATCCGGTAAACCGGCCAAAACACGAGCATCCCAGGGAACGAATCCCATAGGAATAGGTGAAAAAGGATAATAAAAAGTCTGGGCTATTCTAAGCGGCAATTAATCTTCTTTCCACTGGAATAAACAAACGATGGAGGTATTACCGCCATTTTGAATTTGGCAATGTCACGTGGTCCCGGTCGACCAATCAGACGTTTTTCGTCGGTGAAAGTTTGTTCGCATGTTCTGATCTTTGTTGCTTTTGGTCATAACAAAATTAAAATTCCTGAAATAGGTGGTGGAGTGTTTTGAGTCTGAAAGCATGAAACTTCAGATACACTGTTCCTTTGATCCAAGGGTACAATACTATGCAAAGGTTTGTCAAAGCAGCACACACTGTAATAATTCTGTCAATCATAGGAATTTTAGCCTCTTGGGAACCAGTGGGGTCACACTGCAAGAAATCAATTGGTAAAATTCCTGAATTGTGTATTTTCTCCTTAGTAGCCCAATGACTCTTTCCATATGCACACGAATGTTTGCAGTGCCATGGGTTTGCTCGACATCAACTAGGTCCAGCTGGTCTTTGACTTTAGTAAATGCTGGAATAGCAAGTTCACGTTTGTGGAGTATTAGGATTTCCTGGATAGTAAACTGCCGGTCAGCCATCACTAAATCTCCTGGTAGTAGCTTTTTGAGAGTGCCACAATTGTCTGTTAAATACTTATCAGAAGTCCTTCCCCCCCTCCCCTAAGAGTGTTAGACAAATGAAATGCTCCCTTGTGGAGTTATTCCAACCAAAATGTTGACAGTGTTATGAATCTTATAATTATTTTGAATCCGCCTCTGTGCTGGGGCCATGAGATTTGAAGGTGTCGTAACAAGCACCTTGAAGCAGTCTGTGCTGTATATGCTTGTTTCTGCTTAAAAAGGGTGTGGACTACAGGTTTTCACTGTATCACTTCAGAACCAAAATGACAACAATAAGAACTAGCGGTAATTGTTCGTTTATCTAGCATCAATCCATGCATACATATATTTGATGAGACAATCAATCCATGCATACATATATTTAGTGAGACATTCATTGTTGTATACTAATTAAATTAACGGTTGCACAAACAGAAAGAAATTATAAAGTAGTGGAAGAAAAATTATTGGGCTTTGTTTTGGTATATAAATTAGCTTGTACCGAGTTGCACGGAAGCGACAGTTTTGTTAAATGTATATCCCGTTTTTGTGTCAAAAATTCGACTTTGTGAATCTAACATTCGACAACATTCTACTGTTGATAGAAGAGCGTATTACAACGCTATCCAAAATGTTTTTGTTGTTTAGTTCGAGTTTCTTATCACGAATTCAACCAAAAAAAGTAGAGGGACAGACATTTTTGGGCTTTGTTTTGTTAATATGACTTAGCTAGTACTTTGTTGCTGGAAAAACTATATTTAGATGCTAAATTTCCGTGTGTGTGTGTGTTTACTCCGTTTATGGCAGAAAAATAAGCTTACGCTTGGTTTAAGTTAACCTCGTGTCACTCGGAACAAAAGGAAATTATAAAGAAGGTAAAGAAATTTTCTGAGCGATTGTCTTGCTGTGTAACTTGTCTTGTGGCTAGTGGATCGAAGGCGGTCGGCTTTGCGGCAGTTTTCTAAAGTGTGTAGTTCGAAACGTGGTGTTGTCGATCGATGCAGATTTCATTGTTGTTGCACATTATTACAGCTTTGTATGTGAAAGAAATTTGAGTTTTATCCAAACTGTCGAATGAAAACATGTGAGAGTGTTTTCATTAAACGCTTAGACTGTCTTGGAGCTACAGTTCGATAGGTCCAGCAACATTTTGATTTGTAAAAAAAATTCTGTTTACAGAATGTGTACAGCTGCTGTACATTTAGGCTCGCAATTTTATAATTGAAGGATTGAAGTTTAGATTATTTTGCTCATAAACTTGGCTTGGGATTATCCACACGACGACTTACTTGTTACTTTCTTCGTTAGGAACCGCACTTGTGGACATTATTTCCCCAGTGTACAATTTTTTAGTACTAGATTTTTGTACACAGAGCTTTCTGTGGGGGTTGCCTCTTTGCTTGAAAATTGTATCCTGGAAGGAGATGAACAGGGTAAATTTCCTGTGAATGCTTTTGTTTTTCTGTCCATCGTTTTTGGCTTAATTTTTCTGGAGCAAAGTTACGACGGTATGATAGAGTTAACATGCTATTAAGTATTCAAAAGTTCTTTCCAAGAAAAAAAATTATCACAAATTAAACTTACAGGAGTTTAAAGTTTGGAGTAAACTTTGAGTCTTAATGAAATTTTAGTTGGATCATGTTGATGAATGCAGTTGTGTAGGATATACAGTTTCCAATTTTGATCTTCTGTCAGAATTACGAGAGAACACTCAAATACAGATCTCATTCAAACTTTACAGTTTCACTGTAATTATTGTTTGTTTCTATTCCTATAAACTTATCATTAGGTCTGCATTTTGCATAAATTTAATGTGATATATATTATTTGAAGGGGTTGTTGTTTCACAGTGAAGTAGTTTTGAATTTCACTTTGTTTTTTTGATATGAAGTTCAGTTTCTTCTTAGTTGTTGGCTAAGGCAGTGTTGAAGTATGTGACATTTTAACATATTTTATTTATTTCTCTTCAGAAAAGATTGATTGATCCTGCATCAAACAAAGTGCAGCCTCATAAACAAGATTTTTGACGAACAAATGTGTACTCAAGCAAAGCATATGTCCCTGACAGTGTCAATAAAATTTATTAATGGAAAGATCTGGGTTTTTACTCCTTTGTGGCACTTTGACTACGCATCAGTTTTCCAAACTATGTACTAAAAAAAGCAGATATAATCAGTATTTTTTCCAACTAACATATTTGTAATCAAAGGTCTCTTCTTTTATATAAATTATTTCCCTTATTTAAAAAATTTCATTATCTTATTCAGATCAAGCACAGTAACCATTGAAAAGAAAAAAAAACCTGCTCAGTCATAGACGGCTTAAAAGTTTTGATCTTAAAATTGCACCCTTTCACAATGAAAAGAACATGAATGCAGACACCACAGTTCATTTAGCTCATGTCCAAGCTTTTTTTTGTACATTATAAAGTCTTGCTGGAGAAAAAAAAATTTTGCTCTATCTTTTCGGTGAAAAAAATAAAATAAAATAACTTCCAGGTGTCTAAGCAATTTCAAAGGACCCATCGTGTCTTATTTCTCCGGCGCATTGAGCTGTCAAAGGCCGTTTTTCCTAGTGACCCGGCTTTTATCAGAAATATTGTTGTCCTTCATGATTGTGAAGAGTGATCGCTTAAACAAGTCCAAAGCTGAATCCGGTAAACCGGCCAAAACACGAGCATCCCAGGGAACGAATCCCATAGGAATAGGTGAAAAAGGATAATAAAAAGTCTGGGCTATTCTAAGCGGCAATTAATCTTCTTTCCACTGGAATAAACAAACGATGGAGGTATTACCGCCATTTTGAATTTGGCAATGTCACGTGGTCCCGGTCGACCAATCAGACGTTTTTCGTCGGTGAAAGTTTGTTCGCATGTTCTGATCTTTGTTGCTTTTGGTCATAACAAAATTAAAATTCCTGAAATAGGTGGTGGAGTGTTTTGAGTCTGAAAGCATGAAACTTCAGATACACTGTTCCTTTGATCCAAGGGTACAATACTATGCAAAGGTTTGTCAAAGCAGCACACACTGTAATAATTCTGTCAATCATAGGAATTTTAGCCTCTTGGGAACCAGTGGGGTCACACTGCAAGAAATCAATTGGTAAAATTCCTGAATTGTGTATTTTCTCCTTAGTAGCCCAATGACTCTTTCCATATGCACACGAATGTTTGCAGTGCCATGGGTTTGCTCGACATCAACTAGGTCCAGCTGGTCTTTGACTTTAGTAAATGCTGGAATAGCAAGTTCACGTTTGTGGAGTATTAGGATTTCCTGGATAGTAAACTGCCGGTCAGCCATCACTAAATCTCCTGGTAGTAGCTTTTTGAGAGTGCCACAATTGTCTGTTAAATACTTATCAGAAGTCCTTCCCCCCCTCCCCTAAGAGTGTTAGACAAATGAAATGCTCCCTTGTGGAGTTATTCCAACCAAAATGTTGACAGTGTTATGAATCTTATAATTATTTTGAATCCGCCTCTGTGCTGGGGCCATGAGATTTGAAGGTGTCGTAACAAGCACCTTGAAGCAGTCTGTGCTGTATATGCTTGTTTCTGCTTAAAAAGGGTGTGGACTACAGGTTTTCACTGTATCACTTCAGAACCAAAATGACAACAATAAGAACTAGCGGTAATTGTTCGTTTATCTAGCATCAATCCATGCATACATATATTTGATGAGACAATCAATCCATGCATACATATATTTAGTGAGACATTCATTGTTGTATACTAATTAAATTAACGGTTGCACAAACAGATTGTATGGGGCCCCCTTGTGGTTAAGTAAGATGTTTTTACGGGGATTGAATTTGGTATAAAAGCAATGAAGATTAAGGTCAAAGATCTGAGTTATAAAGCTTTCTTTGCTCACATTCTCAAAAACTGTACATTAATCCATAAAGCTTTCTGATTCTATAACATTGGCTTACAATCGTAAGCATCCAGAAGTTATCCTATCACACTCAGGGGAGGTAACTGAGTGGAACAACCAAAGCAAGCATTTTAATTCTTACTAAAGGTGCAGTAAATCCTTTTTATAAATTATATTTCTTTAGATACGTTCATCTACTTACCCACAATAGAAGAAAGGATATCAGGATCGACCGCCTCCCCGGCGTTTGCCCCAGTGAGGTTTTTGCTGACAAGTTCTTCGTTTTTGTAGAAGCAGCTCAGCAAAAAGCAAGCTGCTGATGTCGGACTGAGCTTGCTCTGTGCTGTGGCAAGATTGCCTTGAAAAAGGTAAACCCCTTTCTCCTTTGATAATTCAATCATCTGAAAAACAATTGCACATTTTACTAGTAGTGAGTTAGTTAATTTAGTTTGTCTGAAGGGAAACTATATCAACACTGATACCAATGCTTTTTCTTACACAGAAAAGGCAATTTAAGAGTGTGGGAGCTGTGATGTAAGCACTCATGTCACGTAGCAGGGAGAAAGATGTCACATTTCTTCATCTTTTAAAGGTATTAGTGCACAAAAGGTTTAACAAGGCCTTCTTTTATTTTCCCAAGTCATAGTATTTGCCTTAACCAAGAGAGCTAAGGTGTAATCGTGTCATTATCAGTGGCATCTGTGTTAGAATCCTAGAGGTGTACTGTACAGATGCAAAAAAGCTGCTCTTGGAATCTGTTTTATGCACAGCGACTTTTTAAAAGTGAGATCTGGTATAATGAAATATCACACCTTTCTTAAAAATACACAGAAAGGAAAAAGAAATGGTCACCCAAATGTTAGAGATACAGTAGCAAGGGCAGATCACTATTCTTAAAAGTAGTAGGTATTTTACCTTAAAGAGATCGGCAACAGCTTGTGGCAGCTTTCCGGGTTTGAGTTGTTGCTCATATTGCCCTTCCACTAAAAGCAGAAGATTAAAAGAGAAATTAAGGGCCAGTTCCTACGTGAAAAATATTGCTAACATCTTACATCAAGTAAAACATGGAATTATTTAAGGTTCACTGGATTACCATAGATTATAGACTTTTAAAACTTTGTTTGTTACAGTGGTGTATCTGCACTTAAATTGATAGCCACTTTCACCATCACCAACAGGCCCATTGATTAGGGTTCTCCCTAATTGTTTTAAGCAGAAAAGGTAAAAGATCTTTTCAAATCCGTAAATCAGTATTTTATTTTTCTTTCACATCTTGATCTTTAAGAATTCCAAGCAATCTCAGACAGTAATAAGAGGTGTTACAGGTAGTGAATTTTACTGGTTACTGCCTGTAAAGGAGAACCCTCAGACCAATACTCATTACTGTGCAAGCTGGGGATTTTCCCCGGATATGTCACTTTGCACTGGCATGCATGCACTGCTGATTTCTACAATATCATATCCAAATATCCATGCATTTGAAAATTTTATAAAGTCAAAAAACCATTTGTGTGTGGTGGCTTTTTGAAATAAAGTGATAACTCTAATGTAAAGCATTAATAATAGAGACCTTAAGATTGAGGTTTTTCGGCATTTCCCGCGAACCGCGAACATCAAGAAGTCACTTGACCAGAGTTTTGCCGTCAGGTTTGCGGTTTGAGGTTCACGTTTGTACGTCAAGACCACGCTCTAGAGGTAAGTGATTTACCGCAAGTTTTTTTGCACCCTAAAACATCACAATCCCACGTTTGAGAGGAAATACTACTGTTTAGAACTATTTCGCTTATTAATTATCGAATTCTTTTTATAGAAACGTAATTTTGAAGACGATTTCTCAGCTAAAATAGAAGTGAACAAACAAATGAAGACAAACATGGCAGCCGGCTATTTGTTGTTGGAACTGATTTTCCAGTCGGATTACTTTATGGTTAAACTACGATAAACAAATTACAATAAAAGCAGATTTCTGATGATATGTAAATGCATTCTTTGTTTCCTAGATGGCTGCGTTCAGATGGCCAAGTCTTAAAAATGACATTGCCCTGGCTAAAGAAGTTGCTTCCAGAAAGCCACAAACACATCAGGAATGGGATGAATTAGCAACTATTCTCAGTGAAGTCTTTAGTTCCGACAGCAACAGAGTTGAACTAAAGGAGCGCGGGTGCCGAGAAAGATTGACAAGGCTCATTGAAAATAATGAACAAGATAACAAAAAGTCGCTCAAAAAGTACGGGTTAGCACATGCATTCATGTAAGTTATATAATTGGCGCGACAAGGAATACGCAGAAGCATCATATTTTATTCATGAAGATGTTAAACAAACAAGTCCTAACAAGAAATTCCTTTGTCTCAGTCAAATAAGTTGTTTATTTATCTCATGGTCTTAATGACAGCCTCTCAGTGAATCAGTACATTTCTAAAATACATACATTGTATGCCAAGACTGTGCCCACAATGCCAAATGCCTTGGGACTTGTTCATTCCCAACCCAAATACTGTTGTATTGTAATGGAAGGAGTGGTTATGTTTATTCTTTGAATTACCAAAAGATCTGGAACCGAGGAGGAATACAGTGAGCTAAGCCAACTGCTACAGGATATCAGCACATATAGAAGAGACATGGAAGAGTATAAAGCCAAAACTGCAAAAGACAAGGAACAGAAAAAAAAGAAAGAGAGGGAAGATAAAAAGATGGGTGAAGAAATAAGAAAAAAAGCCATGGAAGGGCTGGTATCCAGTAAGTATGCTACATTCTTTTGCATGATTCTTACTAATATGCCCTTTGGTCTTCAATTACATTTTACATTAAAAGTATGAAAAGTATTAAAGTATTAAAAGGCTGCATTAAAAGTAGCTTAATCGTCTACTTTC